CAGCTGCTGGTGGGGAGCAAGTGATCCCGACATAGGTGGTTAAAACTATTCACTGTTAGTGTGCCCTAGTTCCTGTGAGAACTCAGAGTTTGTCACCTGAGATGACTGGAGGAGGAAGTGCCTCCAAGGCCACTTGTGGGTTATTGGTAGGATCCAGTTACTTGGGGGACATTAGTTCCCAGCCAAATAAATGTCTCTGTAGGGACTTTCCCAACAGGGATGCTGGCTTCTTGGTACCAGCCACATTGAAATCTTTATGGTATTAAAAAGTGTTTTTTTAGCCGGGCGTTGGTGGCGCCCTTTAATCCCAGCACTCGGGAGGCAGAGGCAGGCAGATCTCTGTGAGTTCGAGGCCACCCTGGTCTACAGAGAGAGTTCCAGGACAACCTCCAAAGCAGCACAGAGTGGTGAGATAGCTTGGGTAAAGGCACTTGCTGCCAAGCATGACAACTGAGTTTGAACCCTGGATCTCACATGGTAGAAGGAGAAAATGGATTTCCATGAGTTGTCCTCTGAGTTCTGCATGTGCTCCATGGCGCACCAGCCCCTTCTAACAAATAAACATAATGAGCAGGTTTCTCTTTTTTCGGGGGTGGGGGGGGCTGAGACAGGGTTTCTCTGTGTAGCTTTGGAGCCTGTCCTGGAACTTGCTTGGTAGACCAGGCTGGCCTCAAACTCAGAGATCTGCCTGCCTCTACTTTCTGAGTGCTGGGATTAAGGATGTGTACCACTGCCTGGCTTAATAGTAACAATTTTAAATAGACTTTAAAATTTTAAAGTTACATTTATTTTTATTTATCTTTTAAAATTTATTTTAACTTTATTTTATGTGCATTTGTGTGAAGGTGTCAGATCCTCAGGAACTGGAGTTTCAGACAGCTGTGAGCTGCCATGTGGTTGCTGGTAATTGAACCTGGGTCCTTTGGAAGAACAGCCAGTGCTCTTAACCACTGAGCCATCTCTCCAGCCCCTATTTATTTATTTTTAAAGATATATTTGTTATGGATAGTATTCTGCCTGCATGTATTCCTAAGCACCAGAATAGGGAACCAGATCTCATTATAGATGGTTTTGAGTCACCATGTGGTTGCTGGGAACTCTGAGCCTCTGGAAAAGTAGCCAGTGCTCATAACCTCTGAGCCATCTCTCCAGTCCTTAAATTACATTTATATATGTGTGTGTGTGGGCTGCAGAGCCAGGCGAGTGTGGAAGTCAGAGGACAACCTGTGGGAATTGATTCTCTCCTCTGGCCCTCACCATCTCTTTGTAACTTCATCTTGGAAGCAACATCTTATCCCTTTGCTGGGCTGTTTGTTCAAAGGGCATAAGCACTGACGGGCTCATTCTGAGCTCTGTGAGGAGGGCTACCCCTCAGGGAAGCAGTTGCAGAAACAAACTGGATTTCAGAGAGGTCAAAACTGGAACCATGTGTGGGGCTCATCGGTGCGGTGCAGAGGGAAGTCCAGGGGAGGGCGAGACTGAGCCCTGGAATTTGGAGCCGGGCCGCGGAGGAGAGGTTTTTGGGAAGGTAGAAATGGAGACACCTGTTGGCAGGGGAGGATGTAGCTACCTGTCACAGACCCTCCGAGAGGGGGTGATGATGGGAAAGTCAGGATTAGACAAGGACGGGCTACCCTAACAGAAGCAACCTTGGCAGAAGGAGGTGTGAAGGTTGGGCCAGAGGGTAACAGTGGAGAACAGAGAGCAGGAGGTGGAGGCAACTGTGCCTTCCTTTGGGGGTTTTGGTATTTTTAGGCGCTCGGAGTTGTGTATAGTGCTTTAGAGCTCCCTACACCAAGCACTTTCTTTCTTCTCTGAAAAATCGAAAGTGTGTATTTATTGTTATTATTACTGTGTGTGCCGGTGCCTGGGAGCCATGGTGTGCGTGAATACATACTGTTATTATTACTGTGTCTCTGTGTGTACTGGTGCATCGGAGCCATGGTTTGCATGTGGACATCAGAGGGTTGAGGCTCTTTCCTTGATGGTAGGCGATGTTCAGGCTCCAGGAGGCATCAGATGCTTGTAGACTGTAGAACCAACTTGCCAGCTCCCAGCCCAGCTCTAGTTACTTTCGTTTTGTGATAGAGTCTCGCTAAGGTGCTGGGGTTAATTTTGACTTCTCATTCTAGCCCAGGCAGGTATGGAGTTTTTTGATCCTCCTGCCTCAGTGTCCTCAGCAGGTCGGATGGCCCAGCTCAAGTATCTCTTAGTTGAGCTTATTCCTGGAACTTTCATGGCTTCCTTTCTTTGGTTTTCCAGTTCCCAATTCAGCGGAAGACACTAGGGTAGGTGGTTAGATCCCTGGCAGCAGGTTTCAATCCCACTTGAAGAATCTGGATTTGGTCAACCATACTAACTGGAAACTTGTCACCGACTGCCATCTAGTGGTTGTTTGGAGAACTGCCCCAGGTCCAAATTCATTTATTTTTATTTGCCTTACTGTTTTGCATGCATGTATGTTGTGTGAGGGTGTTAGATCTTGGAGTTACAGACAGATGTTAGCTGCTATGTGGGTGCTGGGAATTGAACCCTGGTCCTCTGGAAGAACAGTCAGTGCTCTTAACTGCTGAGCCATTTCTCCGATGTTCTGGGTTCAGTGAGTCACAGCAGTCAGGCTGCTCAGGCTTGGGAGGAGTGTGGTCCAGGCGGACAGTGTTGGGGTCTGGGGAAATGGCTCGGTGGGTAAGGGCTTCACAAGCATGTGAAGCTGAGTTCAGATCATAGTATCCAGCCTGGAGGATATTGTGCACCTGCAATACCAGTCCTGGGGTCAAGACAGGAGGCTTTGTTGGCCAACAGTTTGATTGGCCAAGAAACAGCAAGCCCAGGTTCATTGAGAGGGCCGTCTGGAGGGCAGATAAGGAGGAGAGTGACGTCTGCCATCTACCTCTGGTCTCCATGCACGCGCACCCCCACCACGACTAACGCTTCTTCCTCACTCCCAAAGGTTTATTTTATTTTTTGAGACAGGGTTTCATTATGTAGACTGCAGGTCTGTAGACCAGGTTAGCTTCCAACTCACAGAGATTGGCCTGTCTCAGCCTCCCAAGTGCTGGGACAGAGGGTGAACCCCAGCGCACCCAGCTTCTAGCTTTTCCATTGTTGCCCCCCCCCCCGTACAGGGTCTCATGGCCTCAAGCAGCCCAGGCTGGCCTGAAATGAGATATGTAGATGGGGATTATCTTGAACTCCTGACCCCCCTTTGCCAGTTGTTGTGATTCCAGGCTGATACCGACACCATGCCTTTGGTCACTAGTGAAGGCACTGGGCAGAATGTAAGCGGATACTGTGGAAAGGTAAGCCTGTTGTCTCACTCTGCGTCAGGGCTACTGCATGCTAGGGGTTCAGAAGGGTGTGGAAGGGACTGGATAGCATTTACTGCATTGCCTTCAGGAGGTCAGACAGTGTGACCTAAGGAAGTCCTGTTTTTATTATGTGACCTGTAAGCATCATTCACTCCCTCTCTGCAGCCTTTGTGTCATCAAACCATAAAAACCATGGGTATACGGCTGTAACGTGTCGCTCGAATGTAAAACACATGCCCGGAAGGTGGCTCTTCCCTGACGATAGGAGCACACCAGTTCTCAGCAGCGAGCTTTAAAGTAGGGTTCTTTAGGAGCCTGGAGAGGTGTCTCAGAGGTTAAGAGCGTGTGCTGTTACTGCCTAGGACCTGGGTTGGGTTCCCAGCACCCCACCCCACCCTGGGTTGCAACCACCTGTAATGCAGCTCCCGAGACTCCCATGGCCTCTTTCCTGGGAATGTGCACCCATGTACACACAACCACACTCTCACACACATGCGGACCCATAATTAAAAGATTAAAAACAAATCTTTAACATAGGGTGAGGTGGCACCTTCAGTCTTAACACTCAGGAGGCAGAGGTGGGTGGATCTCTGTGAGTTTCAGGCCAGCCTGACTGACATAGTAAGTTCCAGCCTAGCTAGTGCTACATAGTCAGACCCTGATTCAATGAACCTTTTTCTTTTCTTTTGTTTTTTTTTTTTTTTAATGGCTCTTTGGGCTAGGGATATAATCAGTAGAGTGTTTTTCTTTTTATTTCCTTTTCTTTAATGATTTATTTATTTTTACTTTGTGTGCATTGGTGTTGGACCTGCATGCATGTCTGTGCTGGGAATTGAACCCAGGTCCTCTGGGAGAGCAGCCAATGCTCTTAATCACTGAGCCTTCTCTCCATCCCCAGTAAAGTGCTTTTCTAGCATGAATAAAACCCTGTCTGATCCCCAGCACTGTATAAACGGGATATGACATCTGTTGTCCTTCTGTGATCCTGGCATCCGGAGTGAGGAAGATCAGAAAGTCTGGGTTGTCCTAGGCTAATCGAGAGTTGGAGGCCAACCTGGGATAAAAGGTAGAGATAAGGCCTGGGGAATGGCACGGTGGGTGAAGTGCTTGCCTCAAAAGCATGGAGACCTGCATTTGGATCCACGTGAGCCACAGAAATCCAGGCTTGTAGCAAGCACGAAACTGTAAACATCTGTAATCCCAGTGCTCTTACAGTAAGCTGTGAGGTAGAGACAGGACGATCCTGGAAGCCCACAGTGGCTGCAACAAGGAAGACAAGGCCTCACCTCAAACAGGGTGGAAGCTGAGGACTGGCTTCCTCACCATGGCACCTCACATGCAAGGATGTGCACAGTCACAAGGGCTGGGATTAAAGGCATGCACTACCACTGTCCAGCTTAAAATACATCTTTAAAAACGATTTGACAAAAAAGCCTGGCTGTGCTGGCACACTATGTTAATCCTAGAGAGGCAGAGACAGGAATATCTCTGTGAGTTTGAGGCCAGCCTGGTCTACATGTTGAGTTCCAGGGCTAAATAATAAGACCCCCTCCCCCCCAAAAAAAACCGATAAAAATGAAATATTTTTTGAAAGTGTTAAAAATAGGTACCAACAAGATAGTCAACACAAAGGTAACAAGTATACAAATATATCATTAGGTAACCAATCCTAAAACAGGCTGCATCCCCCCCACTCCCCGCCCCTTGCACATAAATCAAAAACCCTAAAAAGACCAGGGAGGGAGGGCTCTGCCATGGACCTTCCTGGTTCAGTTTGTTTTGCGGTACAAAGAGCCCAGCCCGACAGGTGGCCATGAGTCCACTGTGCTGACGGAGGAGCGCCTGCGGCGGCCGGCTATGCTCACAGTCTTGGGGTCCTTGTAGAGCGAGTAGCCGTGCTTGACAATGAAGGGCAGCGGGGTAAAATGCAGGAGCATGCGGGAGATTTGCAGGACCAAGTACAGGTTGCCCAGCTCCTTGAACTGCTCCTTGATGGTGCCGTAGATGAGCAGGATCATGGTGAAGCTGAAGAGCTCGTAGATGATGATCCACAGGGTGTAGACTATCAGCCCCATGAACATGTTCTTGTCCAGGCAGAAGAGGAAGAAGCAGCTGATAGCGACGGTGGTGATACACAGGCCTATGCTGATGTTGTTCCTGTAGACCACAGCCCAGGAGGACACCTCCGAGTCTGTGTCCAGGTAGATGCTGTATTTGTCTTCGAAGCCAATGTGTGTTATTTGATTCAGTTCAAAGATGAAGAACTGGATGGTGTTGAGGATAGAGAAGATGCCTGCCATGGTGGATATCATCTTGGCATTCATTGTGTACCCAACTCACCAGGGTTGGTCCTGGAAGGAAAAATCAGGGATAAAACATGACAAGGGGCAGAGCTAGCCCAAGACCAGCTCCCCAAATCGTTAGATGTAATTAGTGGGTCAATGAGCAAAGATGAGCTGTAGACAGAGTTTTCTTTGGGCTGCCATCTCATGAAAAAATGACAGGGAGGCTTACAGTTAAAGGCTTGTCCCACCAGCTCTTACAACTTAGATTAGTGCATTTATATCAGTCTACATTTTGCCTTGTGGCTTTTTATCTCTCTTCCATCTTGCACATCCTGTTTCCTCTCTGTGTCCTCTGACGTCTCTCCTCTCCTTCTCTCTCTACCCAGAAGTCTCTTTTTACCCAGAAGTCCCACCTACCCTCTTCCTGCCTAGCTATTGGCCATTCAGCTCTTTATTAAACCAATCAGAAGGCACCATGGCAAAGACAGATCTTCACAGTGTATAAAAAGGTTATTTCACAACCATGATCCGTGGAAAGGCAGGCTAAGAGTCTGAGCTGTGGACTCACCTAAGCAGCTGGAACCATGTTGTTGGGACATGGAATAGGATTTCTTTCACTGTGAAGAGACACCATGACCACATCTCTTAGGAAGACATGTGTTATAAAGGACAACATTTAATTGAAGTGGCTCATGTGCAGTTTCAGAGGTTTAGTCCATTATCACTGTGGCAGGGAGCACAGCATCGTGGAGGCAGGTATGGTGCTGGCTACATGTAGATCAGAAGGCAACAGGAAATCAACTGTGACACCGGGAGTAGCTTGAGTATAGGAGAAATCAAGGCCCACCCCCACAGTGACACACTTCCTCCAACAAGACCACACCTCCTCCAAAGAAGACACACCTCCTAATAGTGCCACTGGCTTTGGAGGCCATTTTCTTTCAAATCATTACACATACCTTATCCAACAAGGTCATTACACAGTGATCTCAGTGAGAATGACCCCCATGGGCTCATATGTTTGAAGAGTTGGTCCCTAGTTGGTGGAACTGTTTGGAAAAAGATTAGGAGATGTGGACTCCATGCCCAGCACTATACAAGCCTCCTGGTAATCTTAGCACCTAATAGGTAGACACAGGGAGACCTTAAGTTCAAGGGCATTCTTCATTATATAGCAAGTTTGAAGCTGGTATGGGAGACCTGAGACCCTGTCATTCCCTAGAAGGGAGACAAGAGACCCTGTTATTCCCTGGTACCCACTTCACTAGACTGTTATTCCAGTTACAATTTTTTTTTTTTTTTGAGACAGGGTTTCTCTGTGTAACAACTTTGGCTGTCTTGTGACTCAATTTGTAGACTAGGCTGGCTTTGAACTCACAGAGATCTGTTTCTGCCTCCCAACCTGGGACACTTGCCTAGTATTGGGGAGGCTTTGAGTTTAACCCTTATTACTGTACCACTTCCCCACTGCCCCCCTTCCACTCCCACACCCAACTTCCAGCTGATTTTGTAGTTTGTATGTACACTCATGTGCTGGCTAGTTTTATGATGCGATACAAGCTAGAGTCACTGGAAAGGAGGGCGCCTCATTTGAGACATTGCCTCTGTAAGATTGGGCTGTAGGCAAGCCTGTAGGGTATTTTCTTAATTAGCAATTGAGGGGGAGGGCAGCCCATGCGGGGGTGAGATTATTCTGGGCTGGTGGTCCTGGGTTCTGTCATAAAGCAGGCTGAACAAGCCATGAGGAGCAAGTCAGTAAGCAGCACCCCTCTATGGGCTCTCTATCAGCTCCTGCCTCCAGGTTCCCGCCCTGCTTGAGTTTCTGTCCTGACTTCCTTTGATAATGACAGTGGTGTGGAAGTGTAAGCCAAATCAATTGCATTGATCATGCTGTTGCATCACAGCAACAGAAATCCTAACTGAGACATCACACATGGACTATGTTCTATCTGCATGCTTGTCCCGTCTAAAACTCAAGCTAAATTTGTCATTGTGACAGGATTGAGGGTAGTTGGGACCTTTAAGAGGCATAATGGCACATGTCTTTAATCCCTCAGGAGGCAGAAGCCTGCGTATTTCTGAGTTCAAGGCCAGCCTGGTCTACAGAGTGAGTTCCAGGACATCCAGAGCTACATAGAGAAACCCTGTCTCAAAAAAAAAAAAAGAAAAGAAAAAAGGCACTAATGTGGGCAATTTCAATCCTTAACAGGCCCACAAAATTTATAGTCTGACTCTAGTGACTCATGACATCACATACACGTAGCCATTCCAAAAAGAAGGAAGTCACACTGTAAAACTTATACTTCAGGAAAACAATAAAATGTGTGCAGTCACGAAGACAGGCACCTCACCCAGGCTCTCCACCCAGAAATACCTAGCTGTTTTTAACTGCCACCAACAGAGTTTTCCTGTCTTCCCAGTAGAGCAGTCCTTGCTCTGGGAACACAACTGTTGTGCTTTGTACAGCCCATTTCAAGAAATTCTCCATGTCTGTCCCAGAGTCTGGTAAATTCTTTTACCACCCATGTACCTGGCCTTGCTGGGGTCACCCATACACCTGGTCTTCTTGTGGTCTCCAAAGACAACTACCATACCTGGTAGTTTCCTCTTCATTTTGTTTGTTTGTTTTTGTTTTTGTTTTTTTGAGACAGGGTTTCTCTGTGTAGCTTTGGAGGCTGTTCTGGCACTCGCTCGTGAGACCAGGCTGGCCTCGAACTCACAGAGATCTGCCTGCCTCTGCCTCCCGAGTGCTGGGATTAAAGGCGTGCACCACCAACGCCCCGCTTCCTCTTCATTTTTAAAACCTGTTTTGGGGGCTGGAGAGATGGCTCAGAGGATAAGAGCACTGACTGTTCTTCCAGAGGTCCTGAGTTTAATTCCCAGCAACCACATGGTTGCTAACAACCATCTGTAATGAGATCTGGTGCCCTCTTCTGGTGTGCAGATATACATGGAAGCAGAATGTTGTATACATAATAAATAAATAAAATCTTTTAAAAAAAAGCAAAACCTGTTTTGGGTTAGGTGTGGTGGCGAACGCCTTTAATCCCAACACTCAGGAGGCAGAGGCAAGGGAATTTCTGAGATCCAGGCCAGCCTGGTCTACAGAGTGAGTTCCAGGAAGCCAGAGCGACACAGAGAAACCTGTCTCAAAAACAAAAAACAAAAAAACCCACTGGGCGTTGGTGGCTCATGCCTTTAATCCCAGCACTTGGGAGGCTGAGGCAGGCAGATCTCTGTAAGTTGGAGACCAGCCTGGTCTACAAGAGCTAGTTCCAGGACAGCCTCCAAAGCTACAGAGAAACCCTGTCTCGAAAAACCAAAACCAAACCAAAACAAACCAAAACAAAAACCCCAAAACAAAACAAAACAAAAACTAAGCAAATAAAAAAATTGTTTTAGGCCTGATGTGGTGGCACATTCCTTTAATCCCAGCACTATGGAGGCAGAGGCAGGGGGACCTTTGTGAGTTTGAGGCCAGCCTGGTTTACATAGTGAGTTCCAGGCCAGTGAAGGATGCATAATGAAATTCTGTCTCCAAACAAAAATTATCTGTGTCAGTATGTGTGTATGCATATATGCACACATGTGTGCAGTACCCACAGTGGCCAGCAGGAGGCATTAGATCCCATGGGAACTGGGGCTACAGGCAGTTGTGAGGTGCCTGATGCGGGTGCTGGGAATTAAACTCTGGTCTCCTGCAAGAATAGCAAGCATTCTTAATCAGTGCATCATCTCTCCAGCCCTCTTTTACTTATCTTTTTGTGTGTGTGTGTGTGTGTGTGTGTGGGTGTGTGTGTGTGTTTTTGGGCCAGACCACTCGCACAGTGCACACGTGCAGGTCAGACAACAGTGCTCTGGGAGTCAGCTCCCTGTGCACCTTGACTGTGGGTTCTCAGGCTTGGTGGCAAGTGCATTTACTCACTGAACCATCATTCACGGCAAATAGCATAGCAACAGGCATAGTAACAAGTTTAACAGATCCCTTTTGATTGGGCAGGTGCCTTTGACAATTTTTCCCCCCCAAGATAGGGTTTTTCTGTATCTCCCTGGCTGTCCTGGAACAGGCTCTGTAGACTAGGCTGGCCTCAAACTCACAGAGATATTCCTGCCTCTGCCTCCAGAGTGCTGGGATTAAAGGCGTGTGCCACCACTGCCCAGCTCAGCCCCCAGTTTTTATTTTTAAAGATTTATATTCCTTTTATATGTGTGTGGTGGTTTGAATAAGAATGGCTCCCATAGGCTCTTTTACTTGAATGCTTGGTTCTCAGGGAAAGGATTAGAAAGATTAGGAGGTGTGGCCTTGCTGGAGGAAGTGAGTCACTGTGGGGTGGGGGCTTTAAGGTTTCAAAAGCCTATGCCTGGCCCAGGTTCTCTCTCTGCCCATTACCTTTGGATTAGGATGTAAAGTTCTCAGCTACTTCTTCTTCACCATGGGAGCTGCCATGATGATAATGGAGTAAATCTCTGAAACTTGCAAGCCAGCTGCCTCCCCCGCCCCACCTCCCCGCCTCCCTGCCTCCCTGCTGTTAAAAGCTTTCAGACCAGAAGAGGGCACTGGATCCCCTAGAACTGGAGTTACAGACAGTTGTGAGCTGCTGTGTAGGTTCTGGGAACCTAACCCAGGTCCTCTGGGAGGGCAGCTGGTGCTCTTCACTGCAGTCATCTCTCTAGCCCCTTTGACCACTTCTTGTCAAACTGTTTGTTGGAGGTAACACTCAAGAGAGAAACTAAAGAATGCTTTTTTTTCTCATTTTATTTTTGTACTCATTTGGACTATAACAGGAGACATAGCTAGGGGTTGAGGCTAAAGAAGATAAGGCATAGCAAAAGCAGCCCTCCCCCTCCAAGAAAGGTAGACTGGGGGACTGAGACTACCCTGAAAACCTCCACGATGGAAAATGGCCACCTTTAATTATTATGGTGGATAAAGGTTATAATCTTTGATTTCCGCCGTGGAGCGTCTCCGGCTCCCAAAGAGATACGCCTATGGTAAGAGATTATGTTGCCCTGTTTTTTACTCTGGTAGATGATTTGGGCATGGGTAACGACAAAGTACAGACAGAGGCTGTGTAGGGATGCACGGGACACCCAGCCGAACCAGCGCATGGCTCTGACCAGCGCCACGCTGAACTCATTGGTGAAGATCTGAACAGCCAGGTTGATGGACTCATAGGTGAAGATCCAGATGGTGTAGCTCATGAGACCCCCGTAAATCTGGGCATACACAGAATACAGGAGGAAGCAGCTGACCGCCATGGTGACGAGGGACAGGAGGAGAACGATTTTGAAGCTCCAGCAGATGATGAAGTGGCTCACCACGTTGGTGAACTGACTCTGGAGGTTATCCGTGCAGTTGCTGTTCTCGAGATGCTTCCTTTCAAAGATGAGGTGCATGTGGGTGGCCATGATGGAAAAGACCCCTGACAGCACTGTGCCCATCTTGGCTGTCAGCCCAAACCAGTTCTGCTGCTTCATGCCAGTGCCTCCTGTGGAGACAAGCAACCCAGCAGGGACTCAGATCCTGTCCATGCAGGAAGTACCAGGCTCTCGGCCTCCATCTCCATCTCCATCCCCCTGGGAAACAGAGAGAAAGAGGGAAATGGGAAATAATAGCTTTGGCTGGCAAAAGATGTTGAGCTTTCCTGGGGATGAGGGGTGGGGAGGAGGGCTGGATGGCTCCTTGTAGGTAGAGGGCTTGCAGAGGACCTGAGTTCATTGTAAAACCTCCACAGTGGTCTGTTTCTGTAATTCAGGCCCCTGGGTTGGGAGAGGGACAGAGTTCGCTGGCCAGCCAGCCTAGGCAAAGCAGAGAGTTCAGTGAGGGAACCCATTTCTAAGTCACAGAGCAGGACACCTGATGTTCTCTACAGCCTGAAGCCTGGCTCCTCAAACGCTGCAGAAAAGCAAGTCAAGCATGATGTCTTGTGTCCCACAGTGACCATCGCAGCATTCTACTCTTCAGAGGCCAGCTGCCAGGCTGGGCCATAGATGGGGAGGAAAATTCCATTCTCCTGTCGGGGAGGCTTCTGTCAGTGTGCAGGGAATTCTTTAAAGCTGAGTTCTCAGGATCCAAACCCAACCTGGCCAAATCGTCCAGAGAAACAAAAGCCACCACAGCAAGGAAACAGTCACAATGGATTGACAGGCCCTGCCTTTCCCGATTGTCCTCCTTGCTGACACCAAGGGCTCTGTGTGCATCAAGTCTGCTATGTCAAAGTCTTTATTGGTCTGTCTCTCCCTGAGTGTGCCTGATGTTAATAACTGACAACACAAATACACACAGATACACACACACAAACACATACACACAAATGCAAATACACAAACACACACAACACACACAGACACCCATACACAAACACACACAACAGACACACACACAAACACATACAAAAACACACAATAGACACACACATACAAACACATACAAAACACATACACATATACACACACACATATGTAAACACAAATACAAATACACACATACAAATATAAACACACACACAAACACACATGTTTTGTAGAAAAGGTAAGAGCTCACACAGCCAGTAAAACAGCTAGGGCCACATACAGTGCCATTAGGAATCATGGTGTAACAGTGTGAACAGTTAGTAACCAGACAACAGAAATCAATTAAAATGCAACAGTAAAGCTGGGGACCTGGTTCAGTCAACACAGTGTTTGCCTGGCACACATGAAATCTAAGGTTCCATCCCCAGTACTGCATCAAACCACGGTGCAGTCGGAAACCCAGAGCCTTGGAGATGGAGGCAGGAGGACCAGGAGTTCAAGGTCATCTTTGGTGGCACAGTGACTTAAAGGACAGTTTGAGTTACAGGAAAACCTGCCTCAAAAAAGAGAAAAAAAAATGTAGGAGCCACTTCAGTAAAGAATGGGCTCAGGGCTGGAGAGATGGCTCAGTGGTTAAGAGCACTGGCTGCTCTTCCAGAGGACCTGGGTTCCATTCCCAGCAACCACATGGTGGCTCACAACTGCCTGTAACTCCAGTTACAGGGTATTCTGGCACCCTCACACAAACATTCATATGGTCAAGACCCCATGTACATAAAATAAATTAATTAAAAATGAAAAGGATGAGCGGACGATGAGGCATGGTGGGAACAGTGCTCGCTGCCAAGCGTGGCCACCTGAATTTGACCCCAGACTATATGTAATATATATATTACTATATGTAATGAACTGACTCCACAGAGTTATCCTCTGACCACACGGGCCATGGCACATGTGCCCCCCCATTATACAGCATAACAATAATTAATACAAATATAAAGGAAGGAATAAATTGCCCACATAGTCCCACAGTGAGGATGCTAGAATACTTGTCAAAATCAACCTGGTGGTCACACACTACAGTATGGTTGAGTCTTAGCCTGATATCCAGGACCCATAGGGTGGAAGGAGAAAACTGACTGGGAATTTGTCCTCTGATAGTTTCCACAAGACTTCCATGGCACATGTGTGCACACACATGCACATGGAATGAATAAAAATGATAAATTAAGAAAAACCCATTCATAGACAACCGTGTGAGGTCTCCTCGAGGACTAAATGAGCAAGTACATTTGAAAGACTCGGGAAGATTTTGCACTCGGGGAACACGGAGCTGCTCACGGCTCTTCTGTCTTCGCACCAAGGGCAGCTCCCGTACACTCTGCACATTAACTACTGTTTGTTAAGCTTTGCACAGAGACAGGACACCAGTTGGTGTCCTTTTTCCTGCCCAGCTCCCCCTTTGCTAAGAAAGTCTGGTTGTGTTCAGGATGGCAAGAAGCCCAGATCCAGGCAAAATACTTGCCTTCCCAAACATTGCCTTGAAGAAAGGCTACCCGTGGACACAGTTCTAGGAGATGAGACACACATGGAAGAGGGCTGGGCACTCTGCCAACATTTTCTTTCTGAATTTTCTCTCTTTTTTTCAAGACTTATTTTAGTGCGTGCGTGCGTGCATGCGTGCGTGCGTGCGTGCGTGCGTGC